ATTTTAACGAGACAGTAATTAATTATAATGAGATAGTAATTCTAGTAACTGTACCTCATTATAATGAGATATTAACTCATTATAATGAGATAGAAACTCTAGTAACTCTACCTCATTTTAACGAGACAGTAATTAATTATAATGAGATAGTAATTCTAGTAACTCTACCTCATTTTAATGAGAAAGTAACTTAAAAATAATGAAATAGTATCTCATTATAATAATATAGTAACTTAAAATAATGGGATACTATCTCATTATAATGAGATAGTAATTCTAATTACTCTACCTCATTATAATGAAATTGTAACTCATTATAATGAGATAGTAATTCTAGAAACTGTACCTCATTATACTGATATAGTAACTCAAAATAATGGGATACTATCTCATTATAATGAGATAGTAATTCTAGTAACTCTACCTCATTATAATGAGATAGTAACGCTAGTAACTCTACCTCATTAAAATGGGATACTATCTCATTATGATGAGATTATATTTTTTTATTTTTTTTAACAAAGTGGCGGAAACGGGCTTCAGTTGTATTTGATTGAATTCGTTCATTTTTTTTCTTGGTTTAATCCGTGAAATATTTCGACTCTCTCTGCATTATTTATTTATTTATGCCATCAGCTGTCAGCGCTTTATTTTGAAATCCCTAACCAGACGTAGACTACTTGTTGTGAGCTGGTTGGCTTGGTAACGGGGTGGAGGGGGAGGTGCCATGTGACCCGGGAACCAATGAGGGCAAAGACAGCAACAGGTGAGCAGAAGACACACACCTGACCCCCGCTGGTGCAACACAACACCGAGAAAAAGAAGGAGGAGGCGGCTGTAACGCAGAGAGGCTCCTGGGACCTGACATCCTGACAGACGGGCCCGGAACCAGAGAAGCTGGGACCATTTCATCGCTCCGCCCGCTTTGGGTCAAGCAGGACAAAACTGTGCATTATAATCAGCGGCCGGAGCTGTAGGGGTTACTTAATCTGACTGTTTTATTAGACATTAATCCTCTTTCTGCGATAAAAATAGCGACAATGTTTGAGCAAAGCGGCAGCAGCAGCGACTAGTTTCAGCAGCTTCCAGGTTTCAGGTCGATAATCTCCAAACTCCTGCAGGTGGAAGCTCCTCTGCAGCACCATGATCAGCTCCGAGGGCCTGCGGCCGGCCACCGGCGGCAGGAAGCCGCTGGGGAAGCTCGCCTCCCGGTTGGAGGAGGTGAAGAACCCGTGGAGGGAGGGCTCCAAGCTGGAGCTCAGCCACAACGAGGCGGCCCGGCTGGCCACGGACGCGCTGCTGGAGCACGGAGAGAAGGAGTACCGGAGAGTCCTGGCCGAGGAGCGGGAGCTCAACTTCCTCTCCCCGCTGGAGATCCGATACATCAGCAAGCATGCGGCCAGCAAGACCCCCGACACCGACAGCTGCACCGACCGGGACGACGGGGACACGGACGCCGTATCGGAGCTCACCTCCGGGACTTACTTCCCCATGATGTCCGACTATGAGCCGCCTTTGCTGGAGCTCGGCTGGCCGGAGACCCCGGCCAGGTTCGGTCCCTCAGACACCCAGATCTACTTCCAGAGGGACAAGAGCCAGAACATCAAAGACCTGATCAGATCCATGATCAATAAGGCTAAAAAGGTAAGAGGGTCCAGACTGGGGGCCACAGAGGAGGTGCTTGACCTCAGGGGCCCTAAACCCAGAACCTGCTTTCAGGTTAAAATCTGTGGTCAGTTCCAAGATTCTTCGAAAAAAAACTTTAACAAACATTCAAGAGGATGTCAGATCATTAATCAGTGATTTAATCAGTGGAGGAATTGATTAAATTTTATTTAGATCTGATAGATTCAACTTCAGGGATGGAGAGATAAAGTTTTTATCAGTCAGTCCTGAACCGGTTCAGTTTATAAAAACTCATCAAAAAGTCCAAAATGTGAAGCTGACCAGAGACATAAATAACGTCTCTGTGAATCTGATCTAAACACTTCTAGTGAATCCGGACTGCTTTAGGAACAGGGCCTTTCCTTTTTATTCATTTACAATGCAAATGGGTTCTATATCTGTGAGACTGTTGCACAATCCAAAATGTTCAGTTTGCTCTGCATGATGATCGTCTGTCTGCAGCTGCTGCTCCTCCTAAGAGAAACAGCTCAGAAATACTGATTACAAACTCAGGTTTACTGCTATTTATTACAGCAGCTGCTTTCAGAGACATAAACGGCAGCAAAGGTCTGATTAAAGTTTCTCTGTGTTCAGAGGAGAAGTCATCCAGGATAGATATTAATGTTCTGTTCTGGTCCAAACCTCGCCTCAGAACCTCGTTAAGCATGGTAAACTCTGTCAAAGGAACCATCTGTAGTCATACAGGTGTGTTCCCTTTAGTTTCCTCCAGCTGACTGCCTTAATCCGTCTCTAGAGCCAACAGGCCCCGACCCGCCTGTCCTCCACTTGCTGCCATGTTTGTTCTGCTCTCATAGGCCCCGGGCCCCTGGGCAAGGAGGTTGGCCCCTGGCCTGGTGCTTCACTCTGCAGCGGACCCCTGATCTGATCAGTTTCCTGTCTGACTGAGGGTCCAAACAGACCTGGGGGTTCTGTTGAGCAGATTTGGATGTTTTTTTAAACGTATTTCAGTGTTTTAAGCTTGTTGTTTTTAAACTGTTATTATATAATTTAGTTTTTCTTTAATCTAATGATTATTTTGCTAATCATTTAATCTTTTGATGATTTTTTTGATTTATTGATTAAAAATTGGATAGCAAGAAAGTGTTTTTAAAATATTTTACTCAAAAATAGAGCCAAATTAAGCTAAAACTATGTCACTTTAGGAATCCTGGATAAAAAAGAAATTTAAATCCAAAGTGTTCTTTACAGTTTCGGTCTAATTGCTCCTCTGAGTGCGTTGCTATTTAAGCCAATGGCAGGTTTTATATCTCGATATCACAGTTAATGATTAATCGATTACCAAATTAGTTAATGATTATTTCAGTGATAGATCAACTATTAATATTCCTATCAATTGATTCAGCATCACATTGGTCAGTTCAGGTTTTCTTCTTCTTTTTTGTTTGAAAGTTCCTTTAAGTGTGTTTTTCTCTTCAACCATTTTCATTATTTTGAAAATGTGAAGTTAAAATGATTTGCATGCAGGTTGGAAGTCAGGTTTTGCACCTTTTTTAAACTCATAAGTCTCTGAATTGTTCCGATTGTCTGAATTTCTGTAGCAGCTGGTTCTACTTGTTTAACATGCAGCTTAAAGCCGCTCTATGTTGGAGAGTTTTCTGTCATTGGGCCGCTGCTGGTGAGTCCATGAAGTTTGCAGATTTTGAGGTGTGTTTCTCTCTGAAATTCAAACTTCCTGATTATCGATTGCACATCGATGCAAAACCCATCCGTGCAACCGTGGACTGATCCCAGAAGAACACAAGTTCTGTTTGCAGACAGTCCAGCACGCGGTGCATGTGAGTCACTTCCTCCTCTTGTGTCTATAAATACAGAAGCTTTATGTGCAGAAATCTGAGGTTTCTTTAAACGTGGGCTGATTGTAACTTGTTTTTTCATCAGATTGAGCCAATAAACGACCTTTGACCTAGTTTGTGATATTGAACTGCAGTGACATCATGGTGGATCTGCTGTTTTACAGTTTGGTTGCAGTAAACATATGAACAAGATGAAAAAACAGAACCCGTCTATGTTTGTTTGAATGATTGATAAAGGTTTTTAAAAACATCCAGGCTACGATTGGGCTGAAGATATCTGCAAAGCTGCTGTTGACTCGCTGTCGGCGTTAGGAAAGGATTTAATCTCCACTCTGAAGTTTTAACACCACTTTTTATGTTTTATTGAGTAATATATCCAAGTAAAAACATCATGATCCCACACTATTCTGTTATTTTCAGGCTGAAGAATTAAAAGTTACACTGCAGAAATCCCTCCCTGATAAAGCTAAAAGCAAAAAAAAAAAAAACACCCAGTGTTAAAAGTCTTTATCTCTTTAGCTTTGAAATAATGTTGCATTTGCTGCACTTCAGAAACAAAACAAGGAGTTTTGGACTTTTTGTTCTCTCTTAAACTGCTAATTTTGAATGTCACTGAAATTTAAAAACAAAATAAGTTGATCATTCTTACTTCATTCATACTTATAAAGTGTAAGTTATTTATCCAGTATTTTATATCATGAGTAGAAACACCTTCTGCTCTTTCTTAAACTCAACCATTATGACTAAAAGATGCCATGCACTAGAGAAAGAAACTGAAACATTGGTCAGTTTTTATACAATAAAGCCATAAAAGTAAAATGATGTTATATTGATGTGGCGAAGTCATAAGAGGATGTTATTTATACAATCAGCTTTGCAGTTAAACAAGCTTGTTTGTACAGCACCTTATACACACAGCAATTCTACAGTTAAATTAGGTACCAGAGGCTAAGGGATTTGGATAAATGTCCCATAATGCGATGAAAGGTGTTCAGTAATTGTTGGGTCTGACGGGGAAGCTGCAGCATATATTTATGTGATATTTACAGACTGGTTAAAGCAGTTTCTGCATATCTTGTGTTTCAGTTTGATGCAGATGATGTTATGCTTTATATACTATGAACTGAGCCGAGGGAGCTCATCAGTATGAAATGAAAGCGGTGCGAGAATGGAGCCTTGAGGAACCTCAAATCGGATAATAGTTTATTATGATTACAAGTTGTTAAAATACACCAGGACAATATGGCCAAAACGTATATCAGGATCTATGTCCTACTTTTGGTTGATATGGTTTCAATGTTGATTTAAAACAACAACAAAAAACAAACAGAAACACTTCCAATAATGATTTCATTATCCTGTACAACTTTATGGCAATTATTTTGCCATTTTATTAAAATCTTCCAATATAATATTTTACAAATACTGGCTTTAAAAAACAAAACACATAAAACCTGAAACATCAAATGCTTTATCAATAAATGTAATGTATATTAAATATCTGAAATCTGTTAAAAGTCATACCAACGTTGTTGAACTAATATTTATATTATTTATATATTTAAATTGATTTATTGTCCACCCCTACTGACATAAGGTTTCCCCCCTCTGTCTGTCAGGAAGGAGCTGGAAGGTTGGAGAGAAACCTGGTTTAAACTGTTGCAACCTAGTTATTATAAAGTAATAACCAGTTAAAGTGAACAGAGTGCATTTCATAAACATCTGCATTCATAATTATTCAAAAATAAATGGATGGCTGGTTAGTTGCATGGGTATAAGAAGAGACAATAGACTGTTTGGTTGCATCTTAGTTTTCTTGGTAGCTCTGCTATGTAGCTACTTGCTGCTTTTCTTCTCTGTTTGTCTTCTGGATCTTAAGTATTCAGTCTGAATTATGCCTTCTAGCTCTAACGTATTTTCTCTTTTCATTACATGCAACCAGTCAAACTTTTTCTTCCTGCAAATTAATTAATCAGAAATTATCTTTAGTCTCTCGCTGAGGCCGTTTTACAGACAAAGCCATAGAGCAGGCGTAACCAACTAAAAAGCATTGAGGTCTGAACAACAACATCAAAAACCAGTAAAGATCCGGAGACATTTTTTATTATAATCTGTTACTTTAAACAGAATTTAACACTGAAATAAAATGCAGCTGTTTATGCATCCATGTTATACATGGATATAAATATAAACATAAAAAAAAATACAATGTTGTTGTATATTAAAATCTAGATTGTTTTTGAAGCAGAGAACAACAATCTTTCAATTTGGTATATAGACAATTTCCTGATTTATTTTTTTTATAAAACACCTGAACTGACCTTTTCTATTTTTTTTCTTGATTTTTCTATGTCTTAATGTTGGCAGTGGGCTTTATGCTGCCCTGCAAGGCTTTAAACCTGGTTTGAATGGAGACTAAGCCATTCCCCAGCACATATCAAGGAGCTCATTCTGAGCCTGGATCCATATTTATTTCTGATTCTGTTCATGGTGGAGAATCCTGCTTCACAGCAGCAGGTTGAGCCAAACATCCTCTAAATGTGCAGGGTCATCTTTGAGCACGCCATTTAACTTTTCTTTCACCAGTTCACCACAGTTCTTCCAGCAGTCCACACTTTCTCTGCTCTCTTTTTCTCATCATCTTCTCCTTCTTTCCCATCGCCCGGCTTGCCGCAGGTTTGCCTGCTGTGTCTAAAAGTAGCAGCAGCAGCAACCCAGACTGACAGCAGCTCATTGGCTCATTTGGATCATGTGAAGCCTGGAGCCGGACGCTATGAATGGTCTTACCATACAAATAGGAGAAGCAGCGCAAGTGAAGTTAGACACTATCATCTGACATCATGCAATAGTTTATAAATGTTTAAATCAGGTTGGGTCAGGATTAGCAAGCAGGTGGGTCCGGATCCGGACCGCGGTACGCTAATCCGTGACCTCTGCTGTAGAGGGTTGACTGGTTGTCGACTTGGTTTTGTTAGGCTCTGATTTGAGCTGTGGATTTTGGGAACTCTGAGGCATCTGTGGCCCCACAGCAGAGTGGATCAACCCCCTAAGGCTCCAAGACTGGTTTATCAGGTTAAAGCAACATGGTCCTCCAAAAATATTGAGCTTTATTTAGTTTTTTACTATTTAGGCTCATAAATGATAAATATGTCAATGCAGTAAATAAACCTCCAACTGAAACTTCAGCACAAATGGCAGCTGATTCGGTTTTGTCCTGAATTTGAAGCGTTGATTTGAAACGATAGAACTGATCATAGACCTACGCACCAGCCTTCAGGTGTTTTATTTGGTGACTAATAAATTAAACAAATAAACTCTTGATTCCTCCATCTGAGGAATTTTGATAGCTGAGTTGACAGCGCCTCAATATTAGGTCAGTTTGGACCAAACTGACTGACAGATGGCCTGAGATTAGGAGTTCTTAGTCCAAATCACCATCCCTCCATCACCGTGCCTCGGCAGTACAGATGATGAATTCTGTCTGTTTTTTCCAAACTTATTTTATGTTAAGATCAGTCCAAACTCCAGTGTTCTTGGTTTGAAGATGGCCTGTTAACCCTCCATGTATAAAGTGTAGATGGATGCATTGGCCAGCTCATCATTTTAGCCGATATTTGCTTTTTTATTTTATCGTATCGGTCGATACACTCGCTTTCGGCGAATTATCAGTACTTTCAGCATCAATGCCTTCTGATCACATGAAGTGCATGAATTGCTGCTCCCTCCTTTGGCTTTTCATTATTAATGTTTGATTTGTAGTTGTTTTCTATTGTTTAAAATGGGACTATTGCAACATTTATTAGTGTGTAGTAATTTTATCCTGTTAAAGGAGGAAAAGAAAGATATATTGGTCTGAAAAATCAAGCACCAAAAATTAGCAGCGCTTGTTGGAGATCAGCTAGACTGATGTCATAATAATCGATATCGGCGTTGATCTCTAATAAACAGGAGAAGTTGTTTCTCTGAGGTCATTGTTGATGTTTTTCTACCTTGTTGTTGTGAAAACACACACCTGTAAACAGAGCAAGGCAAAGAAAAACCCAAAATAAAACAGCATAGAAGGAAGGAAAACTACTCAAACGTATAGAAATGGTTTAAAGATAAAACCTGGAACAAACCTGAATAACACTGACAAATAAGGAGATAATCTGGATTAAATGATCGCCGCTGTAGATGAACCGGTTTAGAAAGGAGCATTGTGATTGAATTATGTTGTGTGCTTCATCTTAGTCTGAAATTACCTGAAACTTTATGACCAGTTTGAGCAGCAGATGATGACTGAAGATCCTCAGAGTAAAAAAACAAAAAAACAAATAGATGCTAACCTGTCTGTTTATAAGATATATATGTGTCTGTTTCCATGTGGTGTAAATCAATATGTTGGTTCTTACTGTGAGGTTCTGGACATTCAGGTCCAAACGGGTCCAGATGGGTCTGAGTGCTGAAGCTTTTACTGTAACATAGTAGATTAAATCAGGTTGTATTAAAATTCTTCCTCCGCCTCCCACGCATGCTTCTTCCTGGTTTATTTATGAAAAGTAAATGTTCTTCCTCCTGAGCCGATTTTTTTTGCTTCAGATCTCACTTCTAACCCGGCTCTGTAAAATTCCACCCGGAAAATAACACAGAGGCGTCAGTAAGAGATGAGTTTCCAAGTGGGAATAGACGGGAGGCGAGGAGATGAATAGAGAAGGTCAGGAGGTCAGAATCAGAGCTGGAGTTCCTGTTACCAATCCCAGAAACAGAACATGGAGCTGATTTACAGCCTGATTAAGAAAATAAAAAAAATAACGCTAACTTAACAGAGAAACATTCCTCCTTCTAATGTCGGCTAAAGCTCACAGAAAACAAAAATCTTTAGAAAGCCTAAAAAACCTTTGATGTTTAGCACTTTAGAAGGTGAGGAGAACCTATGGACCCCAAAAGGGAACATCCAACATGTTTCAGCACATAGCTTCTGAGGCAGGTTGACTGACTGCTGCTGTCTATACAGGTCATCGCCGTGGTGATGGACATCTTCACAGACGTGGACCTGATGTGCGACCTGATGGAGGCGTCCAACAAGCGGCGAGTCCCCGTCTACATCCTGCTGGACGAGAAGAATCTGAGCTACTTCACAGACATGTGTGTGGCGCTGGACATCCAGAACTCGCATCTGATGGTAAGTTTGGAACCACAGGGCTGTAACTGAACCACAAGTTCAGTTACAAGATTCATATTCTATGTTTTGGTCCAAATGACCAATGATAATACCTCTTATTGTCGGTTTTTGTGCAATATTAGGAGTTGTTTGTTGAAGCAGCACTTCTGCATTGATTTTTGGTCAACTTCTCTTCTACTTGAGCTCAGAGGTCAAAGGTCATTTTGCATTCCTTTAAATTTTCCAAACTGCTGCGTTATGTGTGATTTAGGCGAGGCTGAAGAGCTGCAGCGCTTAGGTGAAACAGTGGATGGCGCTGCAGAGAAAACCAGCCTGGATTTTACCACCAGAAGAAGAGACGAAACAGGAAGTGCATTACTGAGACTTTGCCAACCCCTTAGTTTGGCCTTATAAATCCAAATGCCTTCAGCTATAATGATCCCCTCTGTGGTTTCATGCTGGTAAAAACAGGCATCCTTCGGGTTGAACTGGTCAACTGTTGATGAAACGAAAAAAATGGTGACCATCATCCTTTCCCAGTTAGTGGCCACTCCCTCTCCCTCCCCTACCCAATACTCATTCTGGTAGCGCATGCCTGTGTTGGGTCGGCCATATTGAGTCCCATCTGAAACTATTTATGTACAACTGCGAGTGGCTTATAAGGCCCTCCAACGAGCGAGGACCTGTTTCGCAGTACACCAGCACCAAATTATGGTGGACGGGACGTATAAATGAAAGTTGTGCAAATGCATTACACAGATACAGCGAATATAGAAACACCTCACCAACAAATATCCTTTCACGAAGCTATATAAATCCTTTAGTCAAACCTGCAATTGTTTTGACAAATTATTGCACTGTTTGCACTTAGACAACTTTGAACCAATCTGTATGTATGATCTGGTTGAATTGTTTCTGTGACGTGCCCTAAGATGACATCAACTGAATTGAATTGCAAATAAAGTCAGAACTGAACATAATTAAATATTTTATTGAAAAAAAAAAAAAATTGATGAAGCTGCGAGTGGAGCATGTCCATCAGGATGAATCTCCAGCCGCCGGCGTATCATGGCAACAGTCGCTGTCGGATTTCAGACTGCTACCATGGTGACAACAGCTTCCTGTTCCGGTAGCGGGAGGAAAGGCCATAGTGTGTAGTGAGTAGGGGGAGGGAGCAGCCACTGAATGGGAAAGGCCCGTAGTTTCCAGATGTGGCCAGTGTTACCAAGGTTACCCCTTTAGCTCCGCCCATGTCAGTACATGTAGTTTAATAGCCTTCATGTAGGTCTGCCAGGAATCCGACTGAAATAAAAGTTATGGTTGTAAAGTTTGAGAGGTGTGAATCTTTGAAGATGCCGTCATTATGATCTGATAACTGGAAGCTGAACCCGATGCTCTGGTGGGTTTATCTGTAAACTAGGCCTGCAGAGTTTTGATGATGTTCTAAGTAACATTTCGCCTTTTTTCTCATTCTAATTGGTCTTTATTTAAAATCTGAATGCATGACATTTGACTCAAAGCAGTCTTAGCAATAGGCCCCATATTGTCAAGGAGTCTGATTTACTAGATTATTTACCTTTTCATGAAAATCTTTTAATTATTCTGGTCAAGTGTATTTTTAAAGAATATAAAGCTAATGCAATGATGCGCATGATGGTGCACATATTCAGTGATTCTTGGTTCTGTCCAGAACTTAGATCCACTCCTCAGGCCTTCATGTTTTCCTCCAAACAGTCAAATATTCCTTAAGTTTTTAAAATAAGTTTATATCTGTAGCTTTCTAAAGTTTTTTTTTATATAATAGGGGAAACTTTTTTTAATAAATGTTGTGTATAAAACTAACAGCGCTTGCAATTGTCTTGCAGATCTTCGGCTGTTTGCTTCCTTCTATCCAATCCCATAAATACTGCATTAGATGCTTATTTCAAACTCTTAGAATGATCAAATATTTTACCTGTATGGTGCTGAGCTGTTTTCTTTGTTTGCATCCATCTGTTGTTTTCCAGAATATGAGAATCCGCAGCGTTTGCGGCGACACGTACTGCACCAGAGGTGGGAAGAAGTTCACCGGTCAGGTCCTGGAGAAGTTCATGATCATCGACTGTGAGGAGGTCATTGCTGGCTCATACAGGTGAGAGGACAGCATCTCAAACCCTGACCTGAAAGCTGCTGAGGCAGAGAGAGACAGTCCTGAACTTAAGGGATGGACCAGCCTGTTATTATATAACTTTGTTTTTATTTATTTATTTAAGAAAGACTCAGAAGAGAGGATATAAATTAAAGGGTATACAGAGAAAAAACACATTCAATAAGGTATTTAAGAGCAATCAAAAGATTCATCAGCATTTATTCGTATTTCAGGGGACAACAGGACAGTTTGCCTTTAAACTGCTCGCCTTCTGCAGCCTGACGTTAACTTTGCATCCATGCTGATAAGCAGGACTGACAGAGGAAGCCTCACATGAGTTTGCAAATCTTTGTGGAGAAGCTGATGAAGCCGACGTGCAGCACGGCTGTCAGCCATACGCTGCTGGTGGTTAAAACAGTTTGTGAAATACCAGAGCGTCACCTGTTCTCACAGCTGCACGCCCAGCGAGCAGATAAGAGACACGGAGGGCAGAGTTCAACCAACTCATGGTTTTCCTTTTATTCTCCTCGGAATAAAACTGAACTAAATAACATAAACATTAAATCAGCACCTGGCAGAAAACTGGTTTATAATATTGGTTTGTAGGTTACACAAACATAATGAATTACAGAAATTACGCTGGCCTGGAATGATCAACACTGAACACACGGATATGGGACCATGAGGATTAGCGTACTGCTTTATTTTAAATGTCGCTTCTTCGACAATTACCGTTTGTTTTTCTATTATTATCCATAATTATTAAATCAAAGCGATCCGACGAATTGTTGCACTACGGAGTAGGAACCCTGCAGCTATTACTCTGAATTTAATCAATACCTGACACCGACCTTCAACATTAGCCTTCCAATATCTATATTTTTATGGTTTATATTTATCTGAGCTGCTATATATGTTTCAACTAAACAGTTTTTTCTGGCCAACACTTTCATTTTAGAGCGATAGAGCAACACTTCCAGATAGCATGAGACTGATTCCAGTCAATGGAAAAGATTAGATAATGAAGAGCTTTAATTTTGTGATTGAGCATCAAATAATGATAAATTTCAATTAGAACCGTCTGCTTTCTACAGTCCACAAAAAATCTGAGAGATCGGTGGAAACAGATGGTTTTATATAAATGGTAAGGAAAACAAAACATGTCATAAAATAAGGACATTCTCACATAAAATAAATTAAATTATTGTGTTTGACCCACAGAATCCCATTAGGCCGACCTCACAGCCAGTTTAATGCTCGATTTATTATAAAAAAAACCTGCATCTTCTGCTGTTTATTATTAAGTCTAGGCTAAAAACAAACAAGTTCCGAGACATTTCCCAGATGCCTGTTTTCTGCTGCTTCGGCTTTTTAGTGCGTCTCAAAGTTGATCCATTTGAACCTTACATCTCGCAGAAGTTTCATATATTTTACTTTATTTATCATATTTTTTTCATCATAAAGGTCTCTGCT